TACCTGACTTTTCTCTCTCCATTTTCTCCTTATCTACCCCAAAATCTGTTCTTACATATACATTTTCTTCTAGGATATTCTCCATGAATTATTGGTCTAAGATTTTGAATGTTCTCTAATACTTTAACTATCTTAGCTAACTTTTAGGGCCTCCATGATCATTTATTGGTCCCCCATTTCCAGTTTCACGTCCACTCTTCCTATGTTGAATCTCACACTGCTGGCCAGTTCACTGTTCCTCATTTATGCTCATTGCTTTATTTAATTGCAGGTCCTCCTTGTTTTGCTTTCCAAGGAAGTCTTCCCATCTTTGACTGCTCCAGTCCTGCCAACCCTGAAAAGCTCAGCTCAGATACACTTCTCACACTGGTCCTTTGTTTTGTCCTTTCACGTTGGTCCACTGCCTCCTCTGCCCAGAAAGATGCATGCCCTGAAGAATTATGCCTGCCTTCTGACCTCGGAAACATCTACCCATGCAGTCTTGCATTAGAGCTCTTTGTTTGTTTTCTCTCTTGCATGGAAGAACCTTGCAGACAGAAGGCATCTACTACTCATGTTTATGATTCCTCATCTCACTGTACACAATCTGTGTTCAGTAAATACGTCCCAAGAAAAGAATTCTGTTCACTTAAAGAGATTTGTAAGCATTTTCAACATTAAACAGTGACTCTTTAAATTAAATCAGACCCAACATAAGAAAACTGATGAGTAATTGGGCTAGAGATTTTTCAAGTGGGCCATATCATCTGCTATTTTCCAGCAAATGTGTGGACATAATTTCACTTGACTAAATAGTTTTGGCATTAAAATACTGGTTTTTAGTATCCTGCAACTCATTAAAAATATGTCACAAAACGATAGTGTAACTAAAGGCAGCATTTTATGGAATTGAGAAGTCATTTCGTTTGTTTTTTTTTTTTTTATTTTGAAGAAACTATGAGCACTATTGAAATTATGAAAAAGTAGTTACATTTTGAAGAAATGCTTATTTTATGGCTATGTATTCATCTTAAATACATCTTTATGTATTCATCTTTAAGTACATCCTTTCGTAAAGGTTTTTCCTAACCAAATCTATAGAAAACAGTTTAGGTTTTTCCTTAGTGAGTAAATACATGCTTTGAATGGTAGTGCAGTGTCGTGTTCCCCAGGGACGTTTACATTCAGCTTCTTTTACATGAGTCTGGACAGCCGTGAGTGAGCTCACACAGTATGAGGACAGGAGGAAATGCAGGGGCGTGGGCAACTTGAGTTTCAGATAACACTGCTTTGGTTATTTAAATCTAACCACGAGGCCTTGACTCTTGGAAGTTGCCTTCTGTTAGAAGACATAGTCTGGTCTTACTCTGCACAGCTAAACTGCTGCTTCTCTCCTTTGTTTTGTTTTCACGCAGAAAATATCCTAGTTCTGGTATTACCCTTTAGATTCCCAAATTATTTAGAGGAGGACTGTTAAATGTTCTGCCACAACTTCCTGTCCCTTAATAGATGGCAGGCATTACTAATCTCTAACAGGCTCTTTCCTACCAGTCAGAGCCATCTGATTGACCAAATGCGGCATGCGATACGATCTACTTGCTTATTCCAGTTTATTTTACCTTCATCCAATACACACATACACAATGCAGCGTGTTTGAGGAGTGATCTTGCTAATGTGATTCGGCTGGGACACAAAGAGCTGTGTCTGCTACAGTAGTGTATAGTTGCTGCTTTCCTTCACCCTCCCTGTATTTCCATCTGGGTAGCATTTAGGAAAATGATTTTCTTTGAGGATTTTCTTTTTCCCCAGCTCTTAAAAGCTCACTATGTCCCCAAAGCTGGGTTATCTTAGACTGCACTGCTGTCTCTATTGCGTTTCAAAACAAGAAAATGGTTTGACCCGATCAGTTTTGCACTGGTCAGACCACACACAGAGCATTATGTACAGCATCTAAGATATGGTATTTTATGAGCTAAGGGTTGTGTAGAGACTTTTATCTATTTTATTTGATCAACAGATGAAGGCACACATTCTTCCTGGGCAAGGAACCTCAAGGGAAATGAGTTACTACCTTTCTGCAAACATGGGTCTCTTATAGGAGAATTTTGTCTCATTTCAGGGGGGTGAATAGGACCAGTGGCTAGGACCTTGTTAATTCAGTGAATTGTCTCTGAGAAGGGGGTCTGTACTCAAATTCATATGACCAAAATATGTGCCATTTTTCTTTTCTAGAGGTTTTCATTTATATACATGTACATACACATGTCTGCCTGTGTGTATATGACCTAAGAAGTCATGTAGTCAAAGATATTGTTAAATCTGTTAATCCCAGCATTCCATAGGCACCCCCCCCCAGAGCTGGTTTACTAAGGAGCTCCCATTTGTGTGTGCTTTCAAATTGAGGTAGCGGGACATGGCATTAGCTGGCAGGATACTGGAAATGCAACATTGCCCCCCCAGACCTGGAATCAGAAACTCTGGGAGCCAAGCCCAGGGTGATAATTCCTCAGGGCAAGTGGTACTGCTAAACCATGAAAAATGCTGAGAGAAAGCCACCACTCTTCTCCCACCCAAAAGCCCCCTCTCCATTACCTTCACAGCATTTGCCACAATTTTTATTTTTATTTATTTTTAAAGATTTCTCTTAATGATATTCTGTGGCTGATTCATTTAATAGACGGTTACCCTCATGAGCTTCGGAAGGAAGGGAACATTCAGAAAAACCTACCTAGCTCCCTCATTTCAATTTGCATACTTGAAGTTATCTTAACTAAAGAATCCCCATTTTCTATAAAATGAAGCACACATTTCTACATTTCTGTAATTCAATAAACTTTAATTTCATTGCTCTTGTTGCCATTTTTAAAAGAGCATCTACTGATGATTTTCATTTACTTCAAAATGTCATTTGCAAAATGTAGACTTAAAAACAAAAAAGGGCCCTCCCTGGTGGCGCAGCGGGTTAAAGCACAACACTAAGAAGCTAAAGCCACTTCCGCATGAGTTTGATCCCCATCTGCCCCGGAGGTGACCACGTGGCGTGGCAGACCTCTCCTGACCCGCCCGCTGCTCCCCTCAACAGTGTACCTCCTCGATCTGCCTGTTCTGCTCCCCACTCTGTCTCTGGTGAAGCCTCTGAGCCTCTGGTCTGTACCCCAGTTCTATATGCACAAATAAATCTTAAAACAACAACAACAACAAAAGAACTTCTTTAATGATCTGTTATATGCTTTCTCCCTGTTGAAAGCCTATGAGATCAGGGAAGTTTTGGATCTCTTTGCATTAGCAGAAATTAGATTCTGATAGCATTGTATTTATCTCTTTAAGCAAGCATGGAACTTATTTAAAAAAAATGAAGTATAGTTTTAAATGAGGCTGTATATATAAAAACAAAAATGACTTCCCGTAAGTGTGTATATAGTGGTTGCCTTCTGTATTTTAATGAGTGTCTTAAATGTGCACTTTAAATGTTTTTTAAAAATACCTGTTAAGTCATAGAGAGGAATTGTTTTTCTGAAGGATGAGAAAATGCAGCTGAATATATTAAAGTATCACAGAATATTTAGTTTAATTGCACTTAGATCAAATTTATCATTAATGAATTATGGCCAAATTTATATTCATTTCTTGATAATTTGCTTTGTCATGTCTCTTTTTCATATGAAAGAGTTCCCTACAAATGTATTATAGTGATTTGAACATACAGGGAATATTTATAGGAGGTTTATATGGGAACCAAATAAGGGATCAGGAAAAAAAGTAACAATAATAATAAATTAAAAATCAAAATTAGCAGGTTATAAATCAGAGATATTCTGCAAAGGAGGGGGGAGAAGGAGGAGCAAAGAGCACAAAGAACTGTGGTGATGGTGCTCAGGTGACCTGGTGGTGGGAAGGAATTCTATGGGGACTGTGCCTGTAAGGAGAAAGCATCCAAACATACATTGTACAGAAATGAACAATAATGTAATATATCTCTCTCTATATATATGTGTGTGTGTGTGTGTGTGTGCGTGCGCGCGCACATATATGCATATATATGTGCATATATATGTGCATTTTTTTTAAAGATTTATTTATTTATTCATACAGAACTGGGGTACAGGCCAGAGGCTCAGGGGCGGTGAGAGGCTTCACCAGAGACAGAGTGGGGAGCAGAACAGGCAGATCGACTAAGTACACTGCTGAGGGGAGCAGCGGGCGGGTCAGGAGAGGTCTGGCTCGCCATGTGGTCTCCTCCGGGGCAGGCGGCAGGCGGGAATCGAACTCATGCGGAAGTGGCTTCAGATTCTCAGTGCTGTGCTTTAACCCGCTGCGCCACCAGGGAGGGCCATATATGTGCGTTTTTATATGCATATATATGCATATAAAAATAAAAATACAGGGTATGTATATCGGCATCTATTTGTGCATGTGCAATCTCTTTATGTCACTAGGAAGAATGTTCTTTTACTGAAGGAGACTAGAATAGGGTTAGGGGAGTCAACATGGCACACTGTATCTCACTTAGATACATTTAGAACAAAAATATTAGCTCACCCTTGGGATACATTTTAAGTCACATTTATCTTGAGTCCTTACTGGTGTTTTGTCACACCATCTTTTCCACATCTTTTCCCTAAATCAGTTGGAGTTGTATTTCTGTTTAGTTAGGAGGACAAAGACTGATAGTCTGGAGACTCAATTGTGATTTGCTTGCTGCTGTTCAGCACAGAATGCCTTGGGGTGTTCACTGAGAGAAATGATGGTCTCATTTTATGTAACTACATTAACACCACCCACCCACCCCCGTGGTAGGGGTGTGCAATGGTCTGGATATATCATGGTCACTGAGCCACCATCCCCACCAGAATGCCTGCTGCTATAAAAACCTACCCATGAGGAAGAGCAGGCTGAGGGGTAGAGCCGGCTGTCCCATCACTGTGTTTTCTAAAGAGCGCCTAGCAGCTTTCATTGTGTATATTACCCTTGCACATAGCTTTTGAATCACACTTTTATGCTCATTATTCTCTCTCTTTAGTTTTCCTTACAGGAGAAAAAGCTAATTCGGTATTAAAACGCTACCCCAGAGCCAATGGGCCTTTTGAAGAAATACGACAGGGCAACATTGAGCGTGAGTGCAAAGAAGAAGCCTGCACATTTGAAGAGGCGAGGGAGGCTTTTGAAAATAATGAAAAAACTGTAAGTACATGGTAATTTTTAAAACAGCTTTCAGTGATTTGCCTACCATTTTGAAGTACGTTTGAAATCTGGATCCCCAAATTGTGTGTATTGCTACCCGATGAGAACACCCCTAGGGAAGGACTCTGTAAGGGGCACCTAACTAGGAAAACTCTTGGGTCGTGTTGGGGAGCTGGGATCACCTCCTGAATGTTGGCCTGTACTTGAGCACCCCATTTCCACTGGGCTCTGCTGAACTGAGGCATATCATCTTAGCAAGGGGCAAGCCTCGGTTTCACAGGGGGCTTTGTCTGGGAAAGGTATAGAAGACTGCCTAGTCAGAGAAAGCATGCAGGGAGCTAATAGATGTGAACCCTGTTTCTAGGAGTTTGCTTCTTGTACCAAAGGCCTGGCAGCATGCCCCTTCCCACTCTGTGAGAATATTCCTCCTCGGCCTTCTTTCCTCTGGGCTGCAAGCTCTTTAGGAGAGCAGTGATGGGAGGGCACAGGACAGTGGTGGAAATTCTACTCAACTGGCCTACAGCTGGCGATGACATTGTCAGAGGCTGTTCTGTAAGGGTCCCAGTCCTGTGCTCCATAAGCGGAACACTAGATGTTAGATAAATGATATCAGATGCACGGAAGAAACATCAGATATGTCTGAAAATCGGTGACAACAGAAGTTTTCCAAAGGGATGGGAGAGTTGAGCGCTGGTTACATAGAGACGGATCCAGGGTTAAGTGAAAAGGATTTGTCAAGAAAAGATCAGAGGACCACCATGCCCAATTCCAGTGTGCCCAGCAAAGCAAAATTAGTGGATAAATTGATAAAGAGTTCGCAAATTTTGTCTTTAAATTGTAATTAAATCACAGTTACAGGAAAAGGAAACATCATGTGTCATGCAGTCACAAGGTATAGTTGGCTTTTTAAGTGCTTTGCAGTTTTTTCTTCTACGTTTGATTTGGCTTTGTTGATATTATTTTACCTGCTTATATTTTCTCTTCTTATAAAATTACAACATTAATTGTATAAAGAGAAATTTAAAATATAATGAAATACAGAAATTGCCGTAATTTTGACCACCACCAGTTGTGTGATTTGAGTACATATCACTTTGGCCTCAGTTTTTAATGAGAAAAATATGATTGTTATATGTTTTGTAGCATGCAGTTTTTAATGCAAACTGGCTCAGGTATTTAATAACTAAAGAGAACATTTTTTAAAGGAATGTAAATCTAGATATTCTACTATGGTTTTTAAAAAGCGAATGAATTCGTCCTACAAGTCACCGTTATCTTCAAAGGAATGGTAAGTAGTGGAAAATATTTTGACAACTATGTTCATATATTATTGCTCACCAAACTCCTACCCACTAGTGTTAACTTCTACTAGTAATGATTCTTAATTGAATCACTTTAAAGTTGCTGAAGTGAATTTCTAACTCCGTCATTATGTGCGTACCTGTTACACAACAAACAGTCTACGGGTGGAAGCGTTCCTTCGTGTGTCAGTGTGGACTTACATTCAGTGAGTTATAATCTATAATGCATTATTGTTATTTTTGAAATCAAATTGGCTCAATTTGGCTAATGAAATTCTTTCTTTTTGATGTGTCCTTAATACTTTTTTAAGCACCACTTTACTTAATGGTCCAGTAACATGCTCCAGGATTTCCTGCCCCAGCCTTTGATTAGCTGTTTCTCTGAGGAGCCTAAACTTTTAGTTAGGAATAATGTCCAGAAACCAAAATTTAGGGGCTATGATAGTCTCAGGTCTACCAGAATATCATTGCTTATAAGTCTTCTAACAACAGAGCTATAAAAAAGAAGCCCACGTGGATGGATGCAAGCATGTATATATTTGTGTGTATGCATATATGCTTGCATTATCTACTTACAAGTTCCTGCTGAGCTCCAATTTAATAGAACCCCTTGGGGTTCTTACCTTGTTTTCCTCATTCTACATTTGTACATAAGATGCAGATATTCTTTGTGGATATTCTTCCACAGTGAGCTCTCTGGCTCCCAAAACATCAGTATATTAACTCATTCACTCAGTCCTATGTTATACACACAATGTCTTCAGAATTGTAATACTTACATCATAATGGGGAAGGGGAAAATGTCTATTTATTCATCCATCCATCCATCCATCGTGGAGATTACATGTATACACAGAGATTATCCCATTTTGTAAAAATGCAGTAGTACTTCCTTGTAATGATGTGTCATTCAGTTTATTGAATCAATCCACTGTATTTGGATACTAGGTACTTGTGTGTATTTTTACAATTAGATTCAATGCTGCAGTAAATGATCTGCATATGTATTTTTGCATTATTGGAAGAATATCTTCAGGGTGAATTCTTAGAAGTGGTTTGCTGGTCAAAGGGTTAATGGGGATTACCTTTCTTAAGTGCTGCTAGAGTATTCTCTGTAAGAGCCATACTGTTTTAGGCGTCTATCAGATGAAAGTGCCTGTTTCCTCACACTCTCACTAAAAAGGTGTATTTTTTAAGTTTTGGCATTTTTGTCAGTCTGTTGATGGGACATTATATGTAGGTGGTGTTTCAATTTGCATTTCTCTTTTGCGTGAATTTACTTATTTTGCCATGTGTGCGAGCCATTTTTATATCTCCCTTAAACATTGTCTTTGTAGTTTGCCCTTTTTTTTCCCCCCACACAGAAGAACTGGGGTGTATGCCAGAGGTGTGGGGGTAAGAGGATTCACCAGAGACAGATTGGGGAGCAGAACAGGCAGATCTAGTGAAATGCAATGCTGAGGGGAGCAGTGAGCAGTACCATGTGTGCTAGCTTCCTGGCTGGGAATCGAACTTGGTCTGTAGCAGTGATAGCACCAAGCCTTAAACCTTAGACCACTAGGGAGGCCCCTTTTGCCCATTTTTAAAATGAGATTCATGGCCTTTTTCCCCCTCCGTTTTCAGAAGGTGTATCGGTAATACTAACTTCTATAGGTGACATATATTTCAAATATTTCCTTGCAGCTGTCACTTATATTTTGGATTTTTCCCATACAAATTTCAAGCAATGTCATTGTAGTGATAAATCTGTATTTTGTTGAATCTGGCTTAGTTGTAATAGGAAACATTCCCTTGTAACCTGGTTATAGAGAAATTCAGAAAATTTCTTCTAATATATTTAAGATTTTTTTACTTTTAGATCTGATTCACTTATAGTTTATTGTTGGATATTGTATAAGTTATGGATCTGATTTTTTTTTTTTACATTCTATCAGTTGTCCAAACAGCATTTATTATACAGCCCCTCTTCGTCCCCATCATTTTACTCTTTATCTTACAGCTGATTTCAATATGTACTATGTCAATTTTAGGGATTTATATCCTAGCTCATTGAACCATTATTCTGCTCAAAAATCAGTGCCACATTGTTTTCTAGAGGATTTTTGTATATTTTAGAATAAATTAGAGCTAGTTCCCCTTATAAGCTGTTCTTTTTGTGTGCTTTTTTGTGAGCTGTTCTTTCATGCCTGTTTTTTCACATAAATCATAGTATTTGTCTAGCTCCCAACAGACTAATCTGTGACTGAAAGAAATCCTGGTAAAAATCATTTTTAAATTAACTTAGGGAGAACTAACATCTTTAAAGTACTATATCACTCTCATCAAGAAGAGTTTTCTACTCGTTGAAGTCAACATTTCTGTCTTTCAGGAATGTTTTATAGTTTTCATCACATTTCTTAGGTTTGATTCCAAAGTATTGCTTTGTTGTAATTTGAGTATAGGTAAGCTGTCAATTTCTTTAAACCTTATTGCGTTCACATTGGCATAAGTAATCATACAGAGCTAAGGTAAATGATTTGGTAACTTTTGAGTATGTGTGGCTTTCTGAAACTTTCATCACAATCAAGATAACAAGCAAATTCATCAACCCCAAACATTCCTTATTCTTACTTTTGGGTCAGTGCAAAGAAGGCTTTATTTTTGTTTCTATGAAGGTAAGGCTCATTTGCACCACAGGGTCACAGCTCTTCAAATGTATGTACCGCACCACACACACCAACAAAGTACAGGTAACTCTCAAGTACAGTCTATTAGACGCTCTCCTGTCTTTCTTTCCTCCTCACCTGCCTCCATGACATTACTGCTGCAGTCAAGTCCACGGGTGGGTTTTGTTTCTGTTTTCTGCCCCTTTGTTTGTTTTGTTACATTCCAGATTATCAGTGAAGTCATCTGGTATTTGACTTTTTCCTTACTTTTTTCACTTAAAAAAGTGAAAAAAGTAAGGAAAATCCCCCCTCCACACTCCACCCCCAGTTTCATCCATGTTGCAATGGCAAGGTTTCGTTGTGTTTTTTTAATAGTTGAGTAGTGTTCCATATTGTATACATAAACCCCATTTCCTCTACTCATCTGTTTTGGGGCACTTAGACGCTTCCAAATCATGGCCATGGTAAATGGTGCTGCAGTGACCAGAAGAGTGTATCTGTCCCTTCCAAGTAGCGTTTTTGTATTCTTCATACAAACACTTGGGAGTGGAATTGTTGAATTGTATGCTATTCCTACTTTTCCATGTTTTGAGAATCCTGCGTGCTGTTTTCCATAGAGGGTGGACCAGTTTGCATTCCCATCAGTGGTATATGAGGGTTCTTTTTTCTCCACATTCTTACCTTGTCGTTTCTTGTCTTTTAGATCTGGACCATTCTATCTCACTGCGGTTTTGACTTGCATTTCCCTGTTACTGATGATGAGGACTTGTTCATGTGTCTATTAAAATCTTAGATACTAACCCTTTGTGGGATGTATGATACGTAAAATATTTTCTCCCATTCAGTAGGGTGTCTTTTCATTTTAGTGACAGTTTCTTTCAATGTGTGGAAACTTTAGTTTGATGAAGTTCCACTTGTTTTTGTTTTTATTCCCTTTGCCATTGGAGTTGAGTCCTCAAAGCACTGAGGCCAAAGTTGTGGATTCTTTTCTCTATTTTCTTCTTTGTATTCTATGACTTCAAGTCTTACATCCAAGTCTTTATAAATTTTAAAT